TTTCAACTTAACTGGATAACTACAACAGCAACATCTACAAGATGTGATCCTATGGTCTTTGCCATCGGAAGATGGATTGAATATATATATATATTCTGTTTTTATTATGCAACAATAAAGCTTTACTTTGGATTTACAAATATGTCTTCATGGAAACAGCATTTCCAAGATGGCTGGTGAAAGGAAGCAGGCTTCTGAACTCTGCTGCATTTACAGAGTTACAAACCAACACCTCCTGTGTGGAACTGAAGCCCTCCATTAGTTCCCCTTCAACACCCTTACATTCCTTTTCAATTAATATGCCAGGTCCACTCTCTGCAACACACCTGATTGCTGTGGTTGCCACCAGAGGAGTAGCACAGATCAGTAGACAGTAAAACATTTGGGCTGGAATTCTGTAGACACTTACCAGAGTATAAATCTTATTGAACCTAATGGAACATACTTCTGAGTGAGCATGTTCAATGTTGCACTGTCAGATGTAAGAACAGGTCTTGACTGTGGTTCATTGTAGACTGTCCGCACTGATCCATTGAGATTTACAGGGTTTCAGGGACTTCTCTTTCCTCGCTACTGAATAAGAAAACATACTTTCTTCTCACTGCTTGGCCTGGGGATTTAATGAAAAGCAACCTGCCAGATTCCATCCTTGTGCAGTGTGAAAGTACTACAGCTTCTTGACCATCCAGCAGTTCCCAAACTCTGATCCTCCAGATGTTTTGGACTTCAGCTCCTAGAATTCCTGACTGTTGGCCAGGCTGGCTGGGACTTCTAGGAGCTGAAGTTCAAAACACCTGGAGAACCAAAGTTTGGGAACCACTGATTCTAGACTTAAAGCACTTCTACATAACTCCTTTCTCTATTTTGTCTTCTTATATACAGTCAATCTAAGTTAAATCAACTGTGGGAGGGGGAGATGTTCAGACTTTATAAACATGGGTTCTGTCTGAAAATAGTGTATTCCCTCACTTTCCTCTGAAACAGGAATGGGGTTTATTTTATAAATATCAGGAACAAAGTCTTGGGTTAATGGGGAATATAAATGACAACCAGTCTAACAATATAAACAGTGGTCTTGAAGTAGAATTAGTGCTGCAGCTTCCACTTTTTCAAGAAATGCTCATCATCTTCCCTGCTTCTGCTCCTCTTATCTGACCTCCCCCTCTAGTAAACCATCCTCCCACCTAACTAATCCTACTTGCACATTAACAATATGATTTAAAGTGGAAGAGTGTATTTTCTTGCTGCAGTTATTAAACAATTGAGAATCAGAAATCAGTGTTGATCCACTGCAAATCAACTAGAAAATTCTACAGACCCAACCTTAACTTTCTGTCCCCTCCCTCCCACATTCTAAGTACACTGTTTTATTTGGGGGCACAACAGTACTTTGAAGGGCAACAAAGGCATTGGTTGAAAAGCCAAGGACTTTTCAGAGGGAAAAGGATCCTACAACTATTAAGAATTACTTGGGACTGAGTTGTTCTGTGTCTGTCACTGGATACTAGCTGCTCTGATCCCACTTAGTGAACACTAATCTGAAGAGGGCTGCCAAGAAAAAGGATAATATTTTATTAATTTCTTTCTTTTAAAAAAAAATGCTTTGATATTTTAGCATATGGCCCAATATGGTCACCTCAGGGCAGCTTACAGCACAGTTAATTATAAAATGTAAAATTAAATGAGATTTCAGTTCCAATTAAAACCATTAGTCGAAACCGATTTCATGCCTTCCAACATTTCACAGATGAAAACTAGGATATGTGCAGCCAAACAACATCAAAGTGCAGCAAAAGTTATGAATGAGGAAGAACACACAAGCATGGAGAGGCTGCAGCAGTTTGGTGGCTAAGCCTACTGGGAAGGGCAAGATTCTGCCCCCTCCCCAGCTAATTGACTGCAAACTACTTTTGCATGTTGAACTCAGTTTGCAGCAACTGAAGTAAACACAGGCCTCTTTGCTCTCTGCTACAAAGAGACCTGTGGCAGCACTGGAATGGAGACATACTGGATTGCAAAAGACAGGTTCCTGTTGAGATGCAAATGGATTTTAAATTTCCTGGACTTTGCAAATTTCCCTATAGCCACAGGGCCAGAAGGAGGAGGATCCTGCCTACAAAAGACATCCTCCCCACTATATACTACCATCTTAACTAAAGACTGAAACAACATGTAGGCATCTGACTAGCATCTTTAATGATTTTTCTCCTGTTTGGTTTGTAACTGATGAAGAAGAAGCCAGTGGGGCTTCGAAAGCTTGCAACAAGTATATTGTGCATTTTGGTTGGCCAATAAAGGTATCGCTGATGGATTTTTGTTTGAATTTGCTAAATAGCCAACACAGCTACCCCTGAATGTTGCAAATATAGATATCCCACTTGTTATTTTCTATCAGACAGAATGGGGGCGGGGGAGAGAGAAATGGCCAGTGGCTAGGGTGGATGCACCACGCCAAAATCCCCTTTATTCCCAGAGAACACCCACACAGCCATGGCAATTAAAGTTGTATCAAACTGTCAAAACTGTTTAGCTTGAACTGTTGTGTGCCTTCAAGTCATCTCCTATTTATTGTGACCCTAAGTCAAACCTGTCATGTTTTCCGGGGTGGCAATATTTGTTCAGAGGGGCTTTGCTATGTCCAAGTGGGGATTAAAACTCTGGCCTCCAGTCAATCCAGTCCTTAAACCAGTATACCATGCTGGCTCTCTTAGCTTGAATAAACAGCACACACACAATCTGGCAGCCTGGCCCCGAGCTCACTAACAGATTTCACACACAAAGTTTTATTTAAGAGGAGCAACATCAAACTGCTTCAGCAGAACAACTGAAAACATCTTGAAGCCTAGTTGTGACATGAGTTTTGCCAAGTGTCTGATGAGGTAAGGTCTTGTGTACCGGAGCTTATGTTGTGAGCAATGAATCCTTAAACTACCATAGGACTTTTGGGTGTCTTCTCACTGTAGGTGAAACCCAGGTGAGTGACAGAGAGTAGATCCAATATTTAAAGAGGGAGCTTATTTTACTGCGAATCCAAAGAAAGTCTAAATAAGCCATAGCAAAAGCAGCTGCTGTGAGTGCAAATTGTAATAAAAGCCAAGGATAAGTGACCTGAGTAAATGCAAGAAGCATCTTGAGTTTACTGTGACCATGATGGGGCTCCAGCCCAAATTCAGACAGGTTGGCCTAATACTTGCAACCACTGAACCACCACCACCATCTGAACCACAAGACCCATTGGAGAATGACAATGTCTCATCTATAGAAAAGAGGCCATATACGCAGGATACAGAACTTTCACTCTGAAACCTCTTCCACTGGCAGAATTAAAAATGTTGCCAGTTTATGTAGGAATCTGATCCTGTGTGAAAAGCTCATCCAGTAATAATAAGCTCTGGCAACTGTTTGTCATATTGAGGACACCATGCCATCTGAAATTCCTTGTTAATGTCTGAAAAGGGGCCTGACTGTGAATGACAGCTGAAATTCCAAGCACACTGGGAAATCTTACAGACCCAAATGCGTTATGGCACAAACTTTCACAGACCATTAGAGAAGGAGATGAATTAATTAAAATAAGCAAGCTAGGTCCACAAGAACTTATGCTGTAATAAGTATGTTGGTCTATAAGGTGCTACAAGACTCATTGTTTTTGCAGCAACATATTAACACAGCTCTTTGTCTGGAAATTAAAATATGTATGCTGGATTACAATTATATTTCAGCATTTGTCTGGCTCAGAGCAGAATTTCACCTCACATTATATATTACTCATAGCCCTCTGAAGTGGCTTAGGCTGCTCTGTTAGGTTAATGGCCAGGTAAGGGTTTGTTTGAGAGAGCTAATGTAGTGGGTTGAATGTTGGAGGAAGACTCTGGGAAACCAGGATTCAAGACTTTGCTTGCCCATAGAAAGCCACTAGGTGACTTTGGGAAAGTCACACTCTTTCAGCCTCAGAGGAGAGCAATGGCAAACCCCTTCTGAACAAATATTGCCAAGAAAACCCCATGATAGGGCTCTTGTTGTTGTGTGTTCGTGTGTTGTGTGCCTTCAAGTCATTTACGATTTATGGTGACCTTAAGGCAAACCTTTAATAGGGTTTTCTTGGCAAATTTCTTCAAAGGAGGCTTGCCATTACCATCCTTTGAGGTGAAAGAATGTGACTTGCTCAAGATCACCCAGTGAGGTTCCATGGCCAAGCCAGGATTCGAACCTGGGTCTTCAAAGTCATAGTCCAGCACTGAAACCACTACACCACAATGGCTTCAGGGTTGTCTGGGTTGCCATTAAGTGGGAAACAACTTGAAAGTAAGGAACAAAAATAAGGATTTGAACCCAGGTCTCCATAGTAGGAGCCACACACTTTACTCTTTACACCATATTGGCTTCTGTATCATACTGAAGGCTGCAAATCTGACTGCAAGACAAATATTGGCAAACAAAAGGATGATCAAAGCAAGTGAAAGGGCATTATAGATGTGCATTGGTTGGTGCAATAATCTGTCTTGAAAACAGGTGGATTGTAACTGGGGTCTGCAAGACTCCCTTTCCCCAACTGGTCTTTTTCCCAGTTATCCCTTCCCTTTTATTAAGAGGAGAGGGCTACCTTTCCTCCTAAATAATCCCATTTTCTAGCCCACCAGCCAGCTCACTCAATAGCCATTTTAATTGTGATGCAAATTCATCACAGCTGAAAGAACAAAGTAAATCCCACAAAAGGGGCCCAAAGCTAGTCTTTGCATGGAAATCACTAGACCAGCTGCAGCTGCTTTACGCCTTCTTGGCCTTTCTTTGGCAAGAGGCAATTTCCAATTGGCTTTAATAGCAACTTTGCTCTCGAACAGCCTCTGCTGGTCAACCAAGGAAACAGCAAAGTGTTTCTGCAAAGGCTGGAATTAGTTTTATTAAGGTCTTGTAAAAGAGTTTACAGCTGGTAAGGAGACGATAGAGATGAATCTTCCCAGGCTGTGTACACACAGCAGTCCAAGAGTAACATCTGGCTTTGGCACTAGAAGATATTTGTAATGTTTCAATTTACAAGCACACATGGTAAAAAGCATACATATGATGAAAAGTGGTAAGGAGCTTGCTTCATTACTTTATGAGAATAAATTTCCTTTGTGTATAATTCTGGAATTCATTCTATAGAGCAGGGGTAGGCAACCTTTTTGAGCCAGGGACCAGGTTGCTGTCCCTCAGACAATTGGGGGCCCGAAGCATAATAAATAAATAATTAAAAAAATTTAACAATGTGCATGCACACTCTCTCAGCCCCAGAAAAGCCATAGCAAAACCCCTGTGGAGATTTTGCCAAGAAAACCCCAAGAACAAGTAATAACAATAAATATCATCATGGTGGGCAGCAGCGGCAGCAGGACCGGCCTGGGGCCAGTCCAAAGGCCTTGGGGGGCTACATCTGGCCCCTGGGCCTTAGGTTACCTACCCCTGCTATACAGCCTTGATATAACACTACACTTTCTTTGCTTTTCCCTTTAAAATAGGAAGATACAGTTCAGAGCTCAGGCCCTGTTATATGCCAAATGGTCATGAGGCATTTTGAGAGGGTATTATATTCATGTGTGCATATGCACCAGCTGCCTATTACGATCAGTCCAGGAATAGGCTACCCACACTCAGGTTTGCCTCCTTCCTATTCCAAAATAGCATACTCTGCCACAGCATTGTTCTTTCCCCCACATAAATATGGGAAGAGGGTCAGAATAAACCAACACCATTAAGGCCCCAAATCATGGACAGTAGTTTCAAGCCATTTGTGCTGTTCCTGTTAAATTGAATGTTTTGTGAGAAATCTGCCAAAAAAGAAGAAAAAGAAAAAGAAAAAAGAAAAGAACTACATGGGGGGAGGAATCCTTAATCCAATTCTCATGTGCTCCATGTCAAGAGGCACATTTTATTCCCGCAGGCAGATCATCCCCAAGCCAAGAAATTAGTTTCTGATGTAGAAATTAGTTTCTGATGCTATACCACAGAAAGGTAAAGAGACTTGATTCCTCTACATATATTATCTATGTCAGTAAAATAAACACATGAAGAGGGGGAATATGCTAGCCTGCTACCTTAATCACTTTCCTCTCATTGACAAGGGCATGAGGAAAGCATCCTCTTTGTGTGGAAGTTCTCTTCTTCAGAGAAGTTGCTATCCATAAGAGAGGGAAAAGCAGGTCAGCCCACTACTCCTCTTTACATGTTTTACCTGCATAGAGCTTGAAGAGGTCTTGGATTAAGGAGGTCAGACTAAGGACAGGTTTTGCTGCCCAGCATAGAAGAGCAAATAGCACACCACTTTTCAGGTCAGACCAAAAGTGCCTTTCTTAAAGATAATGTACAGTTTGCTGCCCTTTTGTAGCAAGCAAGATCAAATTTCCCCACTCTACCTATCAGCCGTGTATTGTAAGGGTATATGCATGTAGCCTTTAAAGTACCATCTCCGGCTTCTTTAAATTGGGGGGGAAAACACAAAACAAACAAACACTACTCTTTAAAATGACATATCTGACTTCTTTGAATTGCAAAAAACAAAAACATCAGGAAATTTGTAAATTTCTTCCTCAAAACAAAGGGACATAGCATATTCTTCAGAATGGCTTAGCCAGCACATCACAAAGTTATTACACACAGCAGCTTACGTTGCAAGATCAGAGGTAGGGAATGACACATTCCCTCTGTGCATAGTCTATCCAAGGGCCCATTAACATTACAGTGACAGCACTGTGATTCCATTTTAATGGCTTTGGCTGCATCCTACAGAATCCTGGGGCTTGTACTTTGGTCAGAGGCACCAGAGGAACTGCCTGCCTGAGACTTCTAAATACCCCTCTTTAAACTGCCAATTCCATAGGATGCTGCGGTGCCAGTTAAAGTGGAACCATTGCGCTATAATTCAGAAATGTGAATGGGCCCTGGGTCTATGTTGCAAGGCTGAAACTGGCAGTGGCAAAACTAAAAGTGGATCCTCCTGATCAGCTCTCTGATCGACAAGAGACAGATTGCTCTCCCAGAAGTCTGAACAATACCCTTGCCGAGGGCATTTCAAGTTATTTTTACTGCACAAAGATGTGCACATGCAGACATACCTCTTTTACTGCACAAAGATGTGCACATGCAGACATACTATGCACCTAGCCCCCTGAAATTCTCTGGCACCAAGTCTTTATAGCTCAGTAACTGTAACCAAAGTTATGTAACCATAATTGGAATATACTTGGAACTTTTTTTTCTTTTTTCAAACTGTTTAATCAAAAACAGAACCCTGTGAAAATGTGAACTCAGTAGAACAGGCAAGTCTACTGAGGCCTACCTTAAAATTACACTTCCCACACAATAGAAGTTGCTCTTTTGTTCCCTTTAGAACAGAAATATAATTTCCCCACTGTTGCTTTGCTATCCTCCATCCCCTCCCTGCAAATCATTTGACCAGATCTCTCACTGCTTCAGATCTTAATCTGCTTATTATCTCCTCAGTCTGAAAGGCTAGGAGGATAGCTAACTGCTGCGGATTCTGCATTCTCTTCCAAGGGATTCACTGCTCTTTCTATAGCTTTTCTTTAATAACTTCTTGCACTTTCATCTGCCAGTGATGATTCACTGAGGACACCATGGGCCTGTTCCCTCAAAGAAAAAATAGTTACATGTCAAATATGTTGTGCTCAGTACAAGAACAGGAACAGAGCATGGTTTGTAAATCTCTATGCTGCTTTACATGACTACCTCCATAGAATAATGTCAGGCACTTACTGGTGTCCATCAAACACAAGTCCCTTTCAGCTGAGACAATGTATTGTCCAGTGAAGTATCCTGTGGCCCGCAGGCTGCATGTGGTGGTGGGTTGCTATAGTTTGGTATTCCTCACCAACATGCTCAATATATATTCTAGAAGTGTTTCATTTGAAAACCTTAAAACCATGCCTCCAGAAGTCTCTAGGATGCAGATCTGGTGTGCTCAGAATAGTGTGGTAGAAGGGTCATGGAAAAGGCACAATACAAGTAGAAAGGGGTAAGAAACAGTTGAGGGCAATGAGGCCAAGTGTCTGTTGCTTAAGTGCTGGGGGGGAGTACATTCTTGGAAGAGAAGCAGCAATACTCCATGGAAGTTTTCCCTAAGGCTTTTTGGAATGCAGCCTTGGTAAGTAGCATCACTGCAACAGGTGAGTTTCCCAAGTAACCACTTGATCTCCCTACTTCATTCATCAAAGTTGGGGAATGTGCAGACCTGCAAATGTTGTTGGACTATAACTCCTAGCATTCTTTAAAATTGGCTGGGGCTATGGGAGTTGCAGTCCAACATCTGAAGGAATTCACTTTGCCTACTCCAGCTCCATTTTCCTGTTAAACCCACAGCAGTTCTGCAAGAAATTGAACAAGGAGGCAAAAACCATGGCCACTTTCATGATTTTATTTTACTGTCAGAAAAGGGGAAGCTGATGATTCCAAATTGGTTAACCCAGATCTAAGATTTACAGACAAAAAATGTATTAAATCAATTTAACAAAAAAAAAATCTCCTCTACAGGGAAGGAATAGGGAAGAGGAGTTGGGGCAGAGACATAGCTACTAAAGAGAACCACACACACTTGGTCCCAGATCTAGAACAACTTTGGGACTCTCGGTAGCCCACTGAGTAGGCTGTTGAGCAGGAATCTGGCCTCAGCTGGCTGGCAAGCAGAGGAGATCAGGGCTCTGCAGGCCTCTGGTTTCTAAGTGCCAGACCAGTGGGGTCCTGTTGGGGTGGCTGGGCTGTTTGGGCATCATGAAGGAAAAGACTCTAATCAAGGCAATAATAAATACTGACAAGCCAGGCACATGATATCAAAGGCAGAACAGACACATAAGGCATTCTCTGCTCTCTTATTTGTCCATAGCAAGCGCTTTGTTCAGATCAGATGAGGAACAGCTGAGCTAGGCCAACCCATCTGAATCCCAGAGGCTGCCCTGGGGATTTCAGTGCTTCGCAGCCAGTTTGTGTGATTGAACTAACATGGAGATGACAGTGGCATTAGCAACTTTGATGCTCACTGACAGGCCCCTCTCTCTTTAGCTGAAGCAAGGGCTTCTCTGGCCAAAAGGAGCCTGTAGTGATAGCAGCCTGAACCCTGCTTAAGCCCATGAGAAACACCAGCCTCAGCAGTATAATCGTCCAGCCAGATTTGAATCAGGAGGAGGGAGGGGTGTGTGTGGACGGGACAGGTGCACATATAAAAAAAGTGTAACAAGGTGGGAATGGGGAGCCCTCCCTGGAGGATGCATG